GTAAATGGTACTCCAATCTTGGAATAAGTACTCTATTGTTAATATAGATGAGTTGTGCTAACAAGGTGTTTTTCTTATAGATTGCTATATTAATTGCTTGTATTTCTTTCTTTGCAATACTTCTAATATATGACTGACTATGTTTTTTTGAAAGCCAAATACCAAGAAATCTTGTTAGCTCGCTTGCCTTCTTTTTGAATACTTTTGCTTTTGGTGTGCCAAATTCTATATATCTTAGCTCTTTTATTTTTTTCTCATCTATTATAAGCAACTCTGCTTCTTGCTGTTGATTTCAATGTCATTTATTTTATAAAACTCTTGCACTATGCTAATTATTTCTTCTAGTTCTTTCTTGCTCGCTGCTACGAAGGTTGTGTCATTGGCGTATGCAATTACAGGGATTCTTAAGCTTTGCCGTTGTGTATGATTTCTGCTTAAATCAATTGGCCAGTTCATCTCAAATTCATAACCACGCCTTTTGTTTTCTTGATTTCTGTCAGCAGGGGGTCATAGAATATCCTCCATACAAGAGGGGAGATTACTTCTCTTTGATCAATCTCATCTCCTGCTACAAATCTTTGGGTGGTTCCTAGGCTTGTTAAAACTTCCATTTCACATTTATCAAAGAGGTTTATAATGAAGTGTATTAGTGGCTCTGGGATTTTGATTCTTTGTAGTGCGATTGTAAGCATTTTTAGCTCCACAAAGTCGAACACCTTCTTCATGTCCTGAAATAAGAGCCATATTTTCTTCTTCTTTTTTTTTGCTTCCTCTACTAAACAGTTAATGAGATGCACTGGTGTTGCTGTGCCCTCTCCTGGGAGGCTCGCAAAATTTCTGCCTCTTAGTACTTCTTTTTCGCTGAGAATTTTTGCTAGCCTGCTTGTGATTACTTTTACTACTGTTTTCCAGAATGATTCTAACAGTAGGATCGGCCGCATATTGTTTAGGTTGTAACACTAGTCTTCAGTCTTGGGTATTGGATACAGGATACCTAGCTTTCATTTTTTCGGCATAGTATTTTTTTCTATACACCTGGATGCAAAATCGAGAAATAATCTTCTTGTAGTAGAGCTTACATTTCTTATTAGTGGGTATGTGATACCTGTTCTTCCTGGGGCTGACTTGGTTTTGACCTGCTCTAGCACCTGCTCCTATTCAGCTGGACTAATCTTATTTGTAGTATCTTTATACCAAGACTCATCTATATTTTCTCATAGAGCGTACTGGTTTTTCCACCTTGCTAGCATGGCCTCTATCTGTACTGTATTTCTTGTACGAAATTGCTTTTCAAAGTGTTCTTTAACCTCTTTTAATATGCCTTCTGGCTTAACAATTAATTCTACTTCTTCTTTTGTCTTTTTAACTACTCTGTCTATTTTGATACTCATGTAAGGCTGGTCTAAAAGACTATTAAGCATTTTCTATTGGTTGGTGACGATTATACTGTGCCTCTCTTCTATACTTTCTCTAATTTCTGCTTCTTCAATACTTCTAATTCTTTTGCGCCACTCTTTGTGTAATATTTTTGCCCAGTTTTTAAGACCCTCTGAGCTTAGTACGTTTGTTTCATCTTCTATATCATTACCCATCAGGGAATCAATCTTTTCTAATGCACTAAGTATGTTGTTTTTGATTATGTTTTGTAGTGGCCCTTTCTTCGCTTTACGGTAGCCTTTGTTGCATGCTTTTACCGCTAGTCTTAGTGTTCGTACTTTATCGCTCTCTTTACTAATCTTCATGATTTCTGGAGATTTCTCTTTTTTTGAAAGGTTCGTGTTTGCTGCTATTCTGATGTATTCTTCGATTATATCTCATTTCTCATCTATGTTCTTGGGTTTACGTTTATTCCAGCGGTCTTTTATCTTCTTTTTGAGGCTCTCTTTATACTGGCTCCAATCTTCTTTAGAGGCTTTATTTAAATCTAAGTTGACTCTTTTTCTGTTTTCTCGCCTTCTCTTGGCTGCCCCTGTTTTTCTTATTTCAAGTTCTGTAGTGATGCTTGCTCTTATCAATTTGTGATTACTCATAGTGCAGAGATCCATATCGTCAACTTTGGTATAAATTATACTGCTTTTCTATCTATCTAATACCCAAATATAGTCAATTCTAGTTTCTGCTTTTCTGTTTGACTAGGTTGGAGTGTGAGCCAGGTCTTGTATATCGTATATATTCTTTTCTTTTGGAAGTGCTATGATTTGCTATTTTATCTTGGACTTAGTACTTGTACTTTCTACTTCGCTATCTGCTAGGTCTGGTGTACTGACGTTAAAATCTCCCAAAATTATAAAGCGCTGTGACTTTTTGTTGGGTTTTTCTAAAGTATCTCTGAGCATATGCAGAATTTCTTCTTGTCTTGTTTTGTCATTTGGAGCAATGTACAAAAAGATTATATTTATTACCAGGCCCTTAAAGTCCAGACTAAGTTTTAAAAAATATGGGTTGTCTTGTAATATATGCATAATATGTTGTTTCCAATATTTCTTGATCAGCACCCCTAGGCCTGATTCTTTTTTCTTGCCCTCTTCAGAGCTTGTTCAAAAACTTTTATATATTTTCGTGTCTTTTGTTACGAAAATACCTTCTATGTTGCTGATATTAGTTTTCCCTAAACCCAAAATGTCTATTTTCTTCTCTTTTGCAAAATCTATTACTGCCTTTAGTTTGTTTTTATTGTTTTTTATCCTGTTAATATTATGAAACCCAATATTTAATACCCCGAATTGTTCATATGTTGCAACTTTTTTTTCTATTACTTTATGGAACCTCCTCTCTGAACCTTCTTCTAGTAGCTCCCTTTTTTTACCCTTTTGAGGTCCAGAGTGATCATTTAATGCGCCTTTGGCGCCCTTAGGAGCAATAAGCTAAGGTGCCTCCTGCTAAAGGCCCCTTTTGATTTTCAAGCTTGTCGAGTCTGTCTAGAATTTGTAACAACATGTTATGAATTGAGTTGTTGCCTTTGGGGTCTGAATTATCTATAGGTTTAGTTTTCTTTTAGTGTCTGGGCAGCCGGTTTTCTTTATCGTGATCTTTCTTTACCAGTTGACTACTGTGCTCTGCTGATTTTACTGTGTTTTCACTAGTTCTTTGTATAAGAGCCCTATTAACTTTGGACTTTCTTTCTTCTTCACCTATTAAGCCTAGGTTTTCTCTTTTCTTTTTGGTTTCTATACTGCTAAACCCTTCTAATTCTTTTCTTTCTTTTCCTTTTTTTTGGCTAGTATTCTTGTACTTGAGTTTTCTTTGTGGAGTTGATTGCTTCTATAGCTTTCTCTCTCATATTCCTCTGCCAAAATTTGCCATTCTAGTTTAGTATTAAAATAGTACAGGCTTGCATTTTGGGCTTGCATCAAATCTTCTCTAGATTTAAAGTATATATACGCTCTTTTGTTGTGATTACCATGCCAATTCTCTAGAGTGTAGACTGCCTGTACCTTGTATTTTTTTAGTTGGCGCAGGAGTAAACTGTTATATGCAGTTCTTGGGACGTTATAAATCATACTTTTAAATCTGTTTCTTTCTTCAAGCTCTGTGTGGTTAAATTTTCCTGGCGTTGTTCTGTATGTCCTACCATGTTCTAACTGAACTGACTAGCTTTCTCTTAATGCACTCTCTTGGCTTTCTATATTGCATACTATTTTAATATATATTGCTTTTGTAGAAAAGCTATGTTGCTAGGCCAAAAATATTGCTGAGCCAAAAAATTCTAAATAGTTCTTGATTTCATTACCGCTCATTTCTTTTGGGATGTCCCATAATATGAACAAGTATTGTGACTTATTTGTATTTTTTTTGTTGCCGAATTTCTTACTTGGCGCCCAAACTGAGTTGTATATATCCTCATGGCTTTTAGGTCTTTTATTATACTTCTTGGCTTCTGATTCTTTACTGTTAAATACTTCTTCGGCAATTTTCTCTTTGAGTTTATAGTCTGTAATACCACACTTACTTTTAACTAAAGCATTTATTTTAATTTTGAGATTACTTTTGGCTATTTGCTCATTAATTTTCTGCTCTGAGAAATTTCTTTTGTGTGTAATGCCTTGATTTTTGGCTAGTACAGGCTCATTGTATTGAGGTTCTATTATCTTGGGGTTCACTAGCCACTATTGGGACTGCTTCAGAGTTTCTACTAGTATCTAATTTTTGTGAATTTTTTAGAATAGTGTTGTATCCAAGAAGGTTTTTTTTCTTGGCAGATATTTCTTTCTTTCTAACTTCTTTGTATCGAGCCCAGTCATATAAATATAACACATTGCGTATAGTTGCTATTAGGTAGGTATCCTCTGTGTTTAAATATTTTGCGATATGTCTTCCTTTTTTAATATTATTGTATGCAGCCCATTAAACAAAGCCATTTTCTCTTCATTTGATTTTTTAAAGAAGTTCTTGTATTTTTCTAACTCTGTTATCTCTTACACTCTTGCTTCACATAATTTGTATTGTACCTGGTTGCTTAAAGTGTCCTAAACGTGATATTTTACTGCTGGGCTTGGTGTCTAAATGTACATATTTTTACGTGTTATTTACATGATTTTACGTGTTATATCTATGTCTTTACTTGTATATAGTTGTGTAGCTTCGCGTGATACAGTTGTGTTATACCAGAGATCTGCAATACAGGGTTATTGCTATTTTCTCTAATATTATCGATGCAAGAAAAGTTTTTAACAATAACAAGAAAAAGCCTTTAGCTGCTCTTCTTATACTCTAGTATTGTTGTGTTTTACAGCTTTGCTGACTCTTCTTTCTCCCTGTAACTATGTATTGTCGTTTGTGTTTAGCTAGAAATTTGTTTCGCTTAAATATTGATGTGCAGCAGTTAACCTTATATTATAGCTTTCCTTCTTTTTACTTGTTTAGTTGACTATTGCCGGCTTGTTGCTAGTTAGATACTTCTTGTAGTCTCTTTTTCTGTATACTGTTGTGCTTGTTATTGTGCATATTGCTGTGTTTTACTGTAATAAAAGCTCTTGTCTTTCTGCTATTTTTGGTGTCGAATGATCGTTGGAGAGAGTCTCCTGTTCATATACAATATTTGATCTAGAAAAAATTTTTAGAAAATTTAATAGTGTTATTCAAGACAAAAAACTTATAGTTATGAATAAAACCAGTATGTCTAGTGGGACTAGCATAGATTTAATAGGCATCTTAAATCTTTTATAACAGAGAAAAAAGTAAGTATAGAGTGCAAAGGTCTTAAACCTTTAAGAATAAATGATTTTAGTAGATTTATGATTACAAGTAATCAAAATGTTTCACTTAAAATAAAAGCAGGTGATGCTTGTATAGTATATTTTGATGTATCACCACAATATAGAGGAAATACAGAATATTTTAACCGATTAGAGAAAATTTTAGACCATCTTGATACACCAGGAGTGGTGATAACATATTTTCTTAGTCATAATTTATTGAAATGGAGACAAAGCTTACTGTCACCAAAATGAAAACAGAAACAATGTTAAAACAACTTCCGAATTCTATTCATTTTATAATATAGTATATTAATTTATGGTCTAAAAATTAAATCGAAAAACCAATTAGTAGAAATTTGTATTAAAATTATCTTACTTGGTATGGGAGAATCAAATTAATAAAAATAAATTTAAAAGCTTTTTTCTACTAATAGAGATTAAGAAAAAGCAAGTATGAATCAATAGAAAAAGAGAATGATTTTCATCCTTGACTGATCCAAAATCGTAAACAGATTATGTGAAACAGTTAGTGATATCGAGGAATTTTCAAACTCATCTCAAGCCGAGAAATCCACCAACACATCTACAGAAATTTCTATATTTGATAACAGAACCATTAGCTATTGATTATACCAAAAAAGCTAAGAATACATTTCTTACTTCATTCACTACTAATATGACCCAGGATCTCTTTAATTCTATAATAGATTAACTAGAATCTCCAGTTGCTTTATTATCTAAGTCTACAAATATATCTCTGTTTTTTAAGATTATAGATATAGAAGTTGTGAATAATAAATCTAAATCTTTAGAAATTATTAAATCAAGAAATTATAAAGTTAAACTATCTCTTGACTTACCTATAAATGATAAACCCAAATCCAGCAATAAAGAATCCAATACCCAATCAAAAACATACTCACCTAAATATTTAACTAAAGATTAACAAGAGGCTCGATTAAAGCAATGGGCTATAGATTACAATAAAGATCCAAATAAGTTTGCGACTATTACAAATAAAGACAAAACTAATTTAATAAATTATCTTACAAGAATAGATATTGATGCAAATACTTGTCTCTTTAATATAGAACAAGGTAATAATCTTCATGATTTTATGAAAATATCATATAGAGAAAAATTGATAGGAGAAGAAATCTTATACCATAGACTTGAAGATGCAGATGAACCTATATAGCTAAACACTAATGAAAAATGAATAAAAAATAGAACCATACTTCAAAAAAATAAATTACTATGGTAAAATATTATAACTTGATTTGATAGTTATGCTATAGTAAGAATAAAAAAATTTTATAGATAGAAATATCCAATAGGAAGGGCTTTTTTGTCTCTACAAACTAGTCAATATAAAATTTTCTAATAAAAATATTATATAAACTATGTGTTATTTATGTGCTATATATATACAGTCAGATCTCGTTATAGTTACTTTCAATATAGTTACAACCTTGTTATAATCATGCTATTTTTTTGACCTAGCTATTATAAAACATATAAAATTTGACCTTTATATAGTCACAACTTTTTATAATCACCAAAATTTTGTTTTCCAACCTGGTGATTATATCGAGGTCTGACTGTATACCTAAACAATCATGAATTAAAAGCTCCAGAAAAAGTGCTTAACTTATTGACTTACTGGATGATAAATCTAAATGAACCAACATTCTGTAAATTAATTTACAATGGATATAGATATGTCAATAATTTATCAAATTACTCAGAAATTTCAAAATATATTAATTATAGCTGTTTCAAAATATAGCTTTTTTATTTAATATATAAAAGCTAGTAGTGATACCATCACCTAAAATATTAAAAAACAGACCTAATATATTTTACAAATATCTTGTAACTGTTGAATTGTGCCAAAATCTATTTGGATAAAAGCTTAGTGGAATTTTGATATAATAAAGAAACAATAATACCTTAATATATAATATACTGGACCTACTTAAAGCTATAAATTTTTTTATTGTATTCTATATATTAGTAAATTTTAAATTGATATTCTAGTTATCCTATAAGTATACTTAAACTTATTTTTTCTGAGTATAGGAGGAAAAAGTATAATTAATTTCGATTTAAAAAAAAATCTCTATAGTATATATCAGATGAAAATAGTTAACATAAACTATTTCAATTAATATATACTAACCATAGCAAAAATCGCTATATCATTTGTAAATCACTACAAATTAACTTTACAAACTAGTTTATTACAGCTTAGTAGTTATGTCAAAGAGTTGGCTAGCAAACTTTCAAATAGCAAGACCAAAAGAGCAGTCCCAGAAAGCTAGAGATTAGGCTAAAAGATACTTCCAAGAGTTGAGATTAAGTAAGAAGCAAGTTAATATTCTTATTCCTATTTGATCTCCTAGGAGATATGTTGATGAAAGAGATTCTATTAAAATTATTGCCCAGAATATTATAAAAAATAATCTCTTACCTAAAGAGATAAATGAAATAGTATATGACTTGGTTTCTTTTGCTCTTACTACTGTTGCTAGAAATTCTTGGCTTAATTTATTACAAAAAGAGTTGCACAAACTTGGGGTTAATTATCTCATTAATAAAACAATGAAAATACTTTTTGTTACTGAAGAAGCAAATTAGATTCAAGCAAGAAAACATTACTTTGTAGAATTAATGGTTATAATTGTCCTGAGTTCTTTTATTTAGAAAAAGTTTAGAAAAAACTTAATGAATATAATATTAACAAGACTCCTTCAATGTAAAATCTAATAAACGTAATAGTAATCACTGGTCAAAAACATGCAATTCAACCTCAATTCAATCTCTGAAATTTGTATACAATTCAGAGATGAATTGGGTATCTGATATTTTGGTTGATAGTTAGATTAAATAAGGTTGAATGTTTAGTCTCAGTAAAATAATGAGGTCTAATTTTTAGTTAATATATAGTCGATATTAGGATAAAATAAGATCAAATATTTAAATTAAAAAAACAAAAGTCTGATTTTTAGACAATGTATAGTTGAAATTAGAGATAAAATTAGGTCGAAATAGAGATAAAATAAGGTCAAACCTAATTTAAATATTCAACCAGTATTCAACCCTAATATCAATTATTATATTGTCTAAAAATTGATTCTAATTTAAATATTCGACCTTATATTATTGACTATATTATGTATTTAATTTAAATATTTGATCCTAATATCGACTATTTCTAAAAATCAGATTTTTTTATTCTAATTTAAATATTTGATTTTTAGATATAATATAGTCAATATTGAGGATAAAAATAAAGTTGGGTATTTAAATTCAATAGCCGATTTTTAGATAAAAAGATTGGTCGGTTTTTAGGCCAATATATGGGTGGATTTTTTTAATAAAATAATAAAATTTATATTGAGTGATTGTATTTAATTGGCTAATTAATTTTTATTGTTATAAGAAACTACTTGCAGTCTAATTAAAAATGCTCCAAGTGAAATTTTAATAATAGAAACTCTATTGCCCTAACCCTAAAGCTTATTAATCCAATGCTAAAAAAATACTCTGAACTAACTAACCTATCCCAAAACACTTCAACTACTCACAACGGATTACTAAATCCGATTCTTATACAGGGAAGTCCTACCTTAACAAGCCTCACATAAAGAAAGTCTTCAAGAAAACTACATAGCTATGAAGAGAATTGGTAGACCGATGCTCTAGCATATAGATGGGACCCGAAACCACGTAATGCTAATTGTCACATGCTATACCTTATAAAAGTCAAAATAGATCGTCGATTTTTTATAAATAATAGCATATGACAATTAGCATCACGTAGTTTCGGGTCTCATCTCTACTCTAGTACCAACAATATTTGTCAAGTCGTTTGATTGGCAGAGACTGGGTTAGACGATAATGCCAGCCTTCCTATGAGGTGAGCGATGCTGAAAAGAAAGACAGTAATCAAAAAAAAACCTCACAAACCATACAAATATTATGGGTTACTATAAAAATTTCATTCCAAAGCCTATCTACTATTCCGATAACACACAATGTATAGATAGGTTGAGTTGTATTGGAATTATCGTTATAGTATCTACTCGCTATTCGGTGACACAGTATGTTGAGTTAGGTTGCATTGATTATTGAAAAATTTTGCTACAGACATTGCAAAACTTACTTGCTCTGTAGTGACAGTGTAATTAGGTTAGTTTGTACTGAAATTTTCATTAAATTATTATAAAAAATTCTATCATTAAAAACCTATTTAGAAAAAGCCGAAAGACTTATGCAATGACGACTCCGAAAGCAACAAAAACCCACTGATAACAGCATCAAGGGCGACAGAATCAAAAACCTACTGATAATAGTAGCAAGGGTGACAGAATTGGCACCAATAATGACGAGGACTCCAACGACAATATCTAAAAGTATAGGTACCAAAAAAAACCTCCCAAGCCGAATAGTAGACAAGCAAATCAAAAAACATCAAAAATAAAGCGAATAGTAAGTAGTAGACAAGCAAAACAAAAAAATGTCAAAAATAAAGCGACTAGTTTTTATTGTGGTTACAATAATGTGGTCTGTAATAGTAATAGTAATCTACAGATCTACGATTACAATAATTCTAATACTAATATTAGATATCGATCGGTATATTATAATAAAATCAATTTGGCTTATTTTTTTTTCCTCTTCACTTCAGATGTTCTAATAAGTGGAATAGGAGGTGCTTATTACTCTTTATCTCTTCTTCTTTCTCCATCCCTTGTTCTTCTTGTTGTTCCTTTTGTTGTTCCTCTTCTTCGTTGTCTTCTTCATTGTCTTCTTCGCTGCCTTTATTATATTCGTTAGCTATTGTCCATTCTGGAAGACCTTCGGGTAGTGATACAGTTAATATAAAAGATCTATGTCGTCGTGGTCGTACATGTTTAGAAACCACGGTGGTATCAAAAACATTATGAAGTAATTCACATAACTATAATTATATAGTGTAAAAAATGTAGAGGTACACAATTTTTAACTTAGTTTGAAACATAATGTGCTTTACAATTTTAACGTTAAAAAAATTACAACGAAAGAACATACATAGGGCTATTATGCACGAGATAAGTTGTAACCTAAAAAAGCTAGATACCTTTTCTAATCTCCAGGATAAATCACATACACTAACGTATACATTTTCTTTTTCATCTATTTCATTGTCTGAATCAGACAATTCAGGCGAATGAACAGCACCAGTTCCTATAATATCTTTCATCTCAGCCAAATCAAAAGACATAATTCGGTTGTCTTTTTTTGAATGAAGTTTCTGAGTGCCTCTGCGCGATGAAACATTTTCTATAAAATATATCAATAATAAAAAAAATTTTCAGTAAAATAACTGTTGTGAGCAGCATTAAATAAAATTCTTACTTCATATTGATAAGTGTATCTGTGAATTCTCTTATCAAAATGATTAGATCGAACTTTATCTTTTCGAACTGATTTCAAAATTCTTTTTGATTTATGCCTTTGTTGTAAAATATCTGATATTTCATTTCTATTTGTGTTATATCGACTTTGAAAAACTTCAAGGAGAACAGGAATGGTATTTTTTGCTAGCTGGGCTTTTTGTTCAACCCATTTAGAATTAAGATCTAAATTATAATTGTCTTCTCTTTCATTCAATAAAAAAAAAATCTCCTTCTACAACAAGAAATATTAAAAAAAAATTAATTATTGGGTTGAGTTATATTACTTAATTCGACAAACTTAATAAATAAAATTTTTATATACAGTCATCCCTCATTAATATTAACCTATTTGGATCGCTTTTATATTCATGTTGGCAATATTAATAAAGGAACGTATTTAAAGTTAATATATATGAGGGAATTGTGATATAATTTTAACATAAAAAAATTCATTTTATAGCCTAACGGGGTGAGGAACGACTGTATAACAGATTATATTTATTTATAATCATAATCAAATAATATACCTAAAGTACATTTTTTCGTTCTTTGTCATTTTTAAATTGTATAGTAGGTCTTTGTTGCGTAGCTGTTGATGTTTCACCAGTCTCATCAACTAATTCTTGCTGACTTTCAGCTCAACTTATTGTGTTGATTTTATTTGTTAAATATTCTACCGAAGCATGAAGTTTATCAATTTCTTTCTATACTAAAATTAATATATTATTATTATTATTACTAATAGATTTAGTTTTTTTTAAAAAAAAAAAAAATTAGAGTAAATATTACATTCTCTATCCAAGCTTAGAGGTAAAAGAGGAGATACACTCGAAGGTAAAACAGGTGATCTGGTTGGTAAATTAGATGACCGAATTGAAGAAATAGATAATGTATTACATTCTCTATCCAAGCTTCGAAGTGAAAGAGGAGATACACTCGAAGGTAAAACAGGTGATCTGGTTGGTAAATTAGGTGACCGAATTGAAGAAATAGATAATGGTGTGATTTGAGATCTTGGTAGTCGGGTAGGTGTAGGCAGTGTTGTACATGAAATGTGTCCACACTATGTAAAATGTCCAACGTCCAAGATTGTCCAAAATTGTCCAAGCCTATGTTCCATATTTAACTAATCAATAAAGTAATTTAAAAAAATATATAATTATATATTTTTTTAGGTGCTGGACTCATTGGTGAAAAAATTAAAATAGATTATCTTAATAAAATTTTGAGTAATTTTAATTTGAAAAAATGTCCAAAATTGTCCTATATACAACACTGGGTGTAGGCATTCTTGAAGGTTGAAGTCTTGGTGGTTGTGTAGGTGTAGGCAATCTTGATGGTTGGAACTTTGGTGGTCGGGTAGGTGCAGGTAATCTTGATGATTGGAATTTTGGTAGTTGGGTAGGTGTAGATGATTTTGATGGTGCAGTTTGGAATCTTGATAGTTGAGTAGGTGAAGAAGTTGATAGGGTTGGTTGACATTTTGTAGATTGAGAAGAAGGAACTTTTTTGGTTTTAGCCATTTTTTTTTCTAAAAGAATTTTTTTTTTTTTTTTTTTTTCCTATTTATATTTGAATGGTTGAAAAATTTTTTTGTAAATACTGTGAATGCCCAAATATTCGCTTAGTAGAATATTGATTGATAATTGATTCGATTATTGTTCTAAACTAATCGAGTATTTGAATGAACTTACCTAATCCTGGATTGGAATTAGATATAGGCTCAAAAGTATCTGCTTTTGTTGTCATGTTGGATGCAGGGCCTCTGAACGTTGATAGCAAAAATAGCCAGTGAAATTAGCAAATTTAGCGAAATAGCTTATTATAAATTTATATTTATTATATTTTTCTTTTGCAAGTTCTTTATCTATAGTTTTAGTGAGTTCTTCAGTCATCATCTAAAATATGCAAATAATTACTCGTTGTAAATCAGTTCAAAAACAAAGTAATAATCACATGTTTAGTGCAAAAGTAGCAAATTTTGCATCTTAGCACAAGACAATTGTTACTAGCTATTTTGCTAAGAAATAGTGCTATTTTGGATGCTACAAAAATCTGAGAAATCTGGTTGGATGTAATTGATGCTACAATGATCAAATAATTTCAGTTACAACATTATCGCTATATTACTAATCACGCTCAAATCAAAAATTTATTACTGCCGAATCAAAAGTTCATTGGCAAAATAATCATTCGATCAATTTTTTTACTAGATATAAGATATTACCAGATATAAAATATTTTTTGTAAATATTGCTATTTTTAACTATATATGAAAACAGTGATAAATAACTATGAGATTTTTTTTTATATTATATAAATAATTATAACTTATTAAATATATACAAAAACTAGGGGCAACAACAGGATTTTTTTTATATGTATATTGTAACTATGTAACTAAGGAGTTAAAAAATATATTGTTTTTTTTTAATTACAGAAAAACTACGGAAAAACTACATATTTTCTAATAACCAAAAAGGTAAAAATTAATATTAATTTGGTGTCGCTAAGCAATTATTGATTTTTAAAAATTTTACTTTACTTTCTATGCGGCACTCAATTATATTTTTATTAATTTGGCTAATATGCCAAAATTTGGGTTTAGTATCTTAGCGATTCAGACCCTTTCAGCACGGTATTATAAAGTGTATATTTTTACTAAACCAAATAATGACTCTATTAGGGTATATATATATATATATAGTATATATGTATACTAATGAAAAGAGTTTTAATCTCTTAATCCAAGTTTAGATATTATTTTTTATTTATTGATAGTATGCATGTAGTTTTAATTACCTTATAAAAGTAACAATGAATAACACCATTGTATATGAAACTATATATACATAAATATTATTGTATATGAAACTATGTATATTAATTTATATATTTTCTTCAAATAAAAATAAAACCAAAAAATATTTGGAAATTTTGGTTAAAAATAATTTATAATAGCTTACTCGATTATATATTAAATTTATTCACAATACCACGAGTTTGTAATATTCAAGCAATTTTAGATTCTATTGTAAATTCGGATTCAGAATATGTAAGAACTTCTCTAACAGCTCCTATATCAACCCAACGAAGTATTCGTGTTCCTTGTTATTGTTTAGAATATTTATATAATGGTAAACTAGTTTCTCAATATACAAAATCTTAACATGAATCAGAAGATATAAGACGACGACAAGGTGACGGAAAAGAAAGCATAGAAACTGAACCAGGTATAGAAGGAGGAAGTGAAGATATAGCTATAGACAAAAATTTAGGCAAACTAAATTTAGGGAATCATCAATCAACTTCAGAAGAAGATATTGAAGAAATTATAGAGCTGTTATTTTTACCAAAAAAGAAATGTCGTATGCATTCAAAATTTCAAGATTCGATGAATAAAAGTAGTGATGAAGAAGAGTTTGAAAAAATAGATGAAGAATTAAACGATAAATTAGTTAAGAAATTCAATGAAGAATCCGATAAAGAATCTAATGAAGAAGCCGAAGAAATAGAAGAATTGATGAAAGAGTCAGATAATGAATTGGATGAAGAAGAATTAGATAAACGATCAGCAAAAGAAAAAATTTATAGTGATAGTAATGAATTTGAAGACTATTCTGCTCCAAATATTGATAATAATAACCAGACTAGATTTAATCCTAATGTTAATCAGCCTTTGGAATATGAATGGATTCTGCTTTGGTTGCTAAAGTTTCAATCTAGATTTAATTTATCCGAAGCTGCTATTGATACTTTAATTAAATTTATTTATATAATATTGGTTGAAATAGGTGGTAAAATTCATTTTGGCCACTATCCAAACTCAATTCATATGGTTCGAAAATATTTTAAAATTGGTAAAAACTTCATGAAATACGTTACATATCCAAATTGCAGTAAATTATATAGAAAGGATGATGTAGTCAGCTCACAAAATAATAAAAAGGAACTAGAAATTAAAAAATGTAATCATATTGAATTTCTGAATATAATTGGCACTCGACAAAAAAAAACATGTAATTCTGCTCTAGCAGTTCAAAAAAAATATTTAAAAGAAATTAAAAATGAGGCAATTTTATTGTTTCTAGTCTCTAGTATTAAAAATTATTTATTAAAAATGTTTAATCGGCCAGACTTTGAAAAAGTATACCGTAAATGGATATATTAAACTATAAAGGATGGTGTTATTTCTGATATCTATAACAGTCATGTTTGGAAAGAATTTGAAGACAAACCATCAAATAGTGGCCAATTTTTTATACATGAAACGGCTGATTCACATTTTGGTCTTTTGTTAAATTTAGACTGGTTTCAGCCTTTTGCGTAATTTATGCAACAATTTGCAATTTACCAAGAGAAGACAGATTTAAAGTTGAAAATGTGAGAGGTGTAGCGATTTAGTATAGTGGTCTAGTTGTCACCCTCTTCAAGTGGCAGGTCTAGAGTTCAAATCCCACGGACGACAAATTTAAAAAATAGGCTTGTGGTTGATGGCTATGCATATCAGTTGGATCTAATCTGTAACTTTGGTTACACCATCTAGTAATGGGAGCAATGGCACAATAAATCTGAGGAACTGGCAGAACTGAAAACCCATTTGGGAAGTCCCGAGTTAGGAGTAACAGTGATCTTTGATGGTATTACAAGAGGGCTGAATTCGAACCAGGGCCTGAGATCGAAGAACTGAACGACCAGGTTCTAATGGTGGAGGACACACTAGCCGAACTGCCGGGTTTTGTCGCACTGGAGGAAAAGAACATATGCTCCAAAAGTATGTACCAAGAGGAGGGCGTCCTTCAGGTACCTAAAGCCTGGGCAGACCAACCCTTTCGGGTTGTCAGCTGGAAGTAAGGGAGAGACCGATAAAGAATCCGGGTAAGAAGACGGTCTAAATGCGGATACCAGGGTTGTTGGGAACCTAATAAGGGCAGAAGTAGGTAATCACAGGGGTTCAATGGTTAGCCCTGACCCCAAGTATATGGGTAGAGCCGTGGCGTAGGTTACTGAAGTCTAGATAAATATATGAGTAGGACATGTGATATCTAGCAAAATGGGAATACCCCTATCCAATGATCTGGAGGCACCTGGCGTTGGGGTAAGCAAGCTTCACAGGATGTATTGACCAATGATGAGGTAAATAGGAGTTGATACGACTATATTGGGCTGAAAGGCTTGGTACGTCTCACTTAGGGGTTTACAGTAGTATTCGGAAACTGTAATACCGCAGGGGGAAGGACCTGGGACATCTGCGGTTGTTGACGACTAATTAAGATAACTTAGTTAGGAAGAGATTACCAATGATGTACTGAATATCTGTTGTAAAATAATGCATAATAATATGCATCCACACAATGAGTAATAAAGAGGCAGTGTTGTTAAAAAAAAAAAATAAAGTTGAAAATGTGATGATTCTTGATATTTTACCTGAACCAAATGAGGTTCATTTGCATTATATAAATCATTTTCTTGCATCGATAGTTAATGAATTATGCCAACTTTGGGATGGAATACAAATATCGACTTATGAGCATCTTTTGAAAAAAATGGTTCGAGCCACTGTAATCTTATGTTCTTGTGATATACCTGCTGGTCGAAAATTATACGGGTATATTTCAGCTTTAGTGGCTTGTCATCGCTGTGAAAAACATGCTTAATATAAAAATCGGTGTCACCATTTTGGAAATATTAATGATATGGAATCATGGTTTATTCAGCGAGATTCTATTAAGTATAGGCATGATGCAGAAAAGTGGAAAAAGTGTTATACGAAATCAGATAGAAAGCAGTATACAAAACTGACACAGGTTTAATAGTCTGAGTTACTTCGGCTATTTTATTTTGATTCTGTTCGATTTATGGTTGTTGATCCAATGCATTGCTTATTTTTAGGCATTGCAAAATGAATCATAAAATGATTATTTGTTGATAGTGGTCGATTAAGTGCTCAAACCCTTAAGTTAGTTCAAAAGAAAATGTCAAAAATTCAAGTATCATCTGATATTGGGCGGATTCTAAAAAAAGTCGATAGTGGTGAAGGATTTGCATGTTTTATAGCTGATGAAAGAACTTTATTTTAATTTATTCAATATCTTGTTTATGGGACTATCTTTCAGAACTGGATCGGGAAATTCTTAATAATTTTGTACGAATCTGTACTATTCTTGTATATCGAATTATTAATGTGGCCACATTAAATGAGGCACATGATCGACTAGTTCTTCTTGTAAAGCAAATAGAAGATGAATATAGCAAGGAATATATTACACCAAACCTTCATCTGGCACTTCATATTAGCCAATGTTGCTTTAATTATGGTCCACTTTACACATTCTGGTGCTTCTCTTTTGAACAAATAAACGGTTATCTTGGGTCTTTGCCAAATAGCCGCCGCAAAATTGAGCAAGAATTAATGTGCCGACTTATACAAGATTTTATAGTCAATGATTTTATTAATTAAAAAAATTTTCAACAAGGATTTGATTTGTTTCAAAATCAAAAAACAGTTGGAAGTTTAGCTTTACCAGATGAATTTGAATTTGCAGAATTATATAGGTTCCTTCAAATATCATGAAATATTGAATTAAATTCTATTAGTGGCTCAGAAGATTTTCCTGGTAAATTCTTGAATCCTTCAAAGACAAGAATAATATTACCGGATGATTTTCTAAAAATTTTAGCAAAATATTATTTAGCTACCTATCCTGATCATTCATTTAAAGTACTATTTCAAGAAGGTCAAAAGGAATCATCAATAATTAATCCATTCGCAGACCAATTTGGTCATTTACAAATTGGTTCTGAAATATTTGAATCAACTATGTCAATGTGACATGTAAAAAGTTCTTTTATAATGGTGAATTTTATTAATCGGGATAATAGTTCAAACACTTATGCAGAGCAAATTCAATTCTTTATTCGGCATACTGTACAACTAAAATTGGCAATAATGAAGTTGAGCATAAGTTAGCATATATACGTTAGTACAAGCCAGTATTAAGTAGCTCATTACAATTCTTATTTGGTATAGATGAGGAAGATAAAAGATTGTGCAATATTGAATTATGGGAAAAAAATTTCTATCCTATTAAGCGTGATTGTATAATTCCTATTCATCAAATTTTAAACCGATTTGTGCCAGCATTTTACAAAACAGTACAAAGAAAAAATTCTAAAGAATACCTTGCTGTTATATCAATTAATAGAAAGTTTCATTTATAATTTTATGTATATATATATTTAATAATAAATCTTGTACATAACATTTATGTAATAGTAATCACCTGACACATATAGTAACTGCTAATTTGCGGTTGCACAATATAAATAACTGTCTCTATTAAAAATGAGGATCACTCATCCTCATTCTGGAAGGTGCAGATTATCATGTATAGAAGAATGGAAAAATATTTACCACACCTGTAAATATTAAAAATATCAATTTACTAAACTCCAAACTCATCCTACCATACTTCTATGATTAAAAAATTTATATAAAGTCACCAATAATTACTTTGTTAAAGAATAAAGGCTAAGTTTCTACATGATTTTATATGCTTTCATTATTTTTTATCACTCATTGAAGATTTCTTTGGATTAATAGAGTTACTGCCACAGTCATTACAATGTGAATTCTCGTATATTAAGATTCAAAAATCCCCAAGAGGGTAATCTTCTAGATATGAAGTATACAAAGGATTATAAATATTGTAAGGATTGAATATAAGGAATGGTATATCAAAATGGTTGCGAGCTAGTTCATCGGCTTTATTGTTGAGTATGTTATTTTGATGTGCCATGTTTAATGCAAACATCTAAGAAGGTTTCAGCTGAATAGTACCACATTTCAATTTTTGCGGCAAAGACAATAAATCACTAACAAAGGATTCTAAAAAAAAAAAAAAATTTATTAATAGAATCTTCTACACTTTCACTAGACTCTGCATTTTTACCTTTCTTCCAAGCTATCAGGCTAAATCAGCATGCTAGACCAAGCCGAGTAATCTGATATTATATTATATATAAAAGTAAATTGATTACTAATTTATTTAATTTGATTGTTGAATAAATTGAATTATTTATCAGATTTTGAATACTATATTTAATTAAAATATGTTTTGGGGTTTATTTATTATTAATCTTTTTTCAATGAAATATCCGAATTTAGTTTGTTAAAATATAGGTTTTCAAAATCATGAAATCTGAAATATCGATACTTGGAATTTTTATACTCGAGTTAAGTGATACAATTATTGTATATTACCGAGAATAAGCAACCAAAATGTTGCAAAAAATGAGACTTTTTAGGCCAAAGTGAAGAGGTTGCTTAACCTTCAAATTTTCGGCCCCAAAATCTTTTGTTGTTTAACATTACATTTAGTCTAGGGTGCTCTCAAGGCTAGTTATAAAGAGAAATCATACACAGATATTACGATTAATTGAAGTAATTCTTGCGGTAATTTTGAAAATTTATGTTGTGAAATGTGGATATTAAATTTTAGCCAATCAGCAAAACTCTGACCATCTTTTTTTTTATCACGATACCGAATAGTTTATTAATTTGGATGTTTGATTGCATCCGCAAGAATCTACAATTTTAAGTTTTTTTTTTCAATTCAATATTTTAGTACTTCAAAATATGTTTAATTTGAGCATTTAACATTTTTCAATACCGATAATTGTAGTACTACTTGTGCTTCTGGTTCATTCAAAATTTCTTTCTTTTCTTTTTTTAAAAGAGCTTATTGTTTACTTATGTTCTTTTTTTTTTTTTTTTTTTTTTGTATAGGGCTCTATAGTCTTACCGATTGGGATTAATATCCTCTGTTTGTGCTCTATTACCATTAACCAAAATGGTTCCTTTGAAGAAATTAGAACGTTTTCATAAGTATGAATAAGCTTATTTGTAATGCAAATATATATATTAGCGACTAACATTTAATTTGTTTTCTCATTTCCAGTGACTAATATTGGTTAAATATTCAATAAATCTACTTGTAAGTGGGAACGTTACTTATCAGTTTCAGCGCAAAAATTCATGTTTACAAATCTTTAACATATACTTTTATTCATATTAATTTTAGTTAGCTTCAAATTATGTCTCTATTTTATTTATTGCTTGTGTTAGTACTATAGTTGTTAGGTGAAACTGGTGAAAGTGATGAAGCAGGCGAAACTGGTAAAACCAAAAGTGTAATAACTAGTAAATTTTATACTGTCGGGATTAAATTAAGTATGTATTATTTATAGTTCTAAAGTTCATTTATTAAGTCCCTCTCTATTGTATAATTTCTTATTCAGTTCTGTTCATTTAGACAAGAATTTAACGAT